TCTTCTGAGATCAGCTAGGATGAGAGTTCCAGGGACAGCTCTACGCCCCTGCCCAACAGGAAGCAGATACAGAAGAAGAGACCTCCTGTCCCTCAGCTTCCCATAGAGATTTAAATGGGGATCACGTCTCTCAAGGGGAAAACTAGGCAGGCAGTTAGAGGCAGGCATTGGGTCTCTGCATTCCTGCACGTCCCACAGAATGTGACCGCCCGGTGACCGCCCCTCTCAACCCAAAACTTCTTTTCATTGTAACTATCTACCCCTGAAACAAATGGGTGCAAAATACCCAATTAGATCAGACCAGTCACTCGCACCTGAGAAGTACCTCTTGTCAATCACAGGTGCCAATCAAGTGGTCCCATGCCCAAAGGGGAACAGCGCATTGTAGAGAAAGGGGATAAAAACTCCAAGTAATGGAAAGTCTGCCCCTTTTGGACCCCTGCTCTTTTTGGATCACTTCCCTTTTGACCCCTTCCTTCCTTTTCGAGCCTTTGGAGACTCGCCTTTGCAAGTGGCTGCTCCATATGCTCCAAACTCTTTGGAATGTAATTTCTCTTCTAATAATGGGCTCTTGAGCCATTCCCTACTGCTCGGGCCTACTTCTACTTCTTCTACTTCTACTACTATCGCTTTGAATAAACTACTTTTTCAGTACTTTACTCTGGCATCTCGTTCAATTCTTTGCTCGAGTTGCCAAGGACCTGGACTTTGCACCGAGAAGGGCCCACTCTCCGACAACACTACCATCTGACATGCTACGTATATTTTACTTGCTTGTTTTTTATTTTATTTCCTTTTACTATGATGTAAACTCCACAAAGGCAGAGTTTTTTGTCTCTTTTGTTCACTAGGAAATCCTCAGTGCTTAGAACAGGGCCTGGCACCTCGTAGGTGTTCAAAAAGCATGTGTGGAATAAGTGAAGTTCTAACTTCATCACGTTAATGTGGTTGTAGGGTGCATACTTCTCTTTCCTCAGAGCCTGATGGATTTGATGTTTCTGCCTCAGCTTTCTATGGAGATTTTCTACAGAGAGCTGAAAGCCCAGCAGATGGGTGCACCCTTCTTAACCTGCTGACAAGGGAAGGGGATATGTGAAGTGAGCAGGCACTAACCCTGTACCTGGCCTAATTACTAGGGGAGTAAACAATTCTAGAGAAGCTCTGAAGAGAGTTCAACATGTAGGGAATTGGAGAGAAATTAATGCTGAGAGAGCTTATTATAAAGTTGGGAGGCTCAGCAAAGCCTGAGTGAAGCACAGAATATAATAATAAATGTAATTTATGTATCAGTGTAAAATTACTTAATAATTATTTTTACAGCTATAATTTATTGAATGCGTGCTCTGTTCTGGAACTTTATTATAAATTGCATTACACACTGTATCTGTATTTAATGTGATACAATAAAGGCTCAATAAGCTTATGGAACTTGCTTGTGTGATGATTTGTGAATCCCCTGAGTAGAAAGCATAGATTTAGTCCCGCCCTGCAGAACAGAATAGTGCTAAAATATAATATGCCTTTGAGCCAAAAGAGCCTTGGATTGACTGTTTTTGTCACTTAGCAATTGTGTGACTTGAGCAAAGTATTTAAATAGGCTCATATTTCATCTCCTTTATAATGGGGATTACACTTGAGAGAAGAACTAAATGAGGTTGCACACAAAGCGCTTAGCATAGTGCCAGGCTCTGTTAAGTCCTGGATAAATGTGAGCTGGGCCTGGGAAGGCGGAACATACTGAGGAAAACTGACCAGCTGTCATGTTTGTTTACAGTGCCTTCCCTGGTCAGCCTCCTAATTGCTTCCCTGCAGAATCAGAAGCGTGCATGTAGCTCCACCTCCTTACTGGAATTTCTTCAGTCTGGCCTTTGCCAGAACTGGTTAGTGAAGGGACCGTTTCATCACACAACGCAACCTCGGCTGTGATATTCCCCCACCCGTAGCGGTTGTGCCAGTTTGTTTTCTCCTGGGACAGTGCGTTTGTGCGTCGCTGCATGCTGGGGGTTGTAGTTCGGTTCTTCACACCTGCATTTAGAGGGCTCATAGAGCCGGGGAACTACAACGCCCAGAGTCCTGCGCGCCGCCGGGACCCGTCTCCCCCACGGCCGCGACAGCAGGAAAGATGTCGGCGTCTGCCGTTCCGCCCCAGCTGTGAGCCCCTCTGTTCTTAGAAAGGAACCTGGAACGACACTCCCGGAGCAAAGGTAGCATCAGTACACATGTCGTGGGGCCAGAGAAACTAGGCCAAATACTTCAGGGACGCAGCCGTTCTGCACATCCAAGGTGTAAACTGGTTCCCCAGGTGCCAGCCGAGCCCAGCCTTGGCCTTAGATACATGGCCCCTTCCTTTTCTTTCTCCAGGACTCGGCCTCGGGAAGGGTTGTGGACAAGGCTATGAGAACTCACCCTCTTCTCACAGGCCGAGTCGGGATATACTGGAACCCCCGGAGAGGCGGCCACTTTGACGTCTGAAGGAGGGGACAGGCTGGCAATGAAGACTGACCCCTCGACATCTGTAGCTCCCCCCAGGGGGGCCGGGAAGCCCTTGCAGAGCAGCGAGCCGGTGCGTGTCGCCCCAGCCCCGTCGGCGGCCGTGGTTCTGCTAGAGGAGGCGGCCGACTTCTTGGTGGTGCACCGGGACTTCCGGGCCGCGCTGCAGACTTGTGAGCGAGCCTGGCGGAGCCTGGCCAACGATGCCCTGCTGAACGATGCTGAGGGCACGTACGTGCGGTCCTTGCGTGATTCATTTCCGGGTGATCTTTGGGAGAGACTCCAGATCTCAGGAGTTCTGCTATTCCCAGATTGCTTTCCTTGTGGTTCCTCTCTGAGAGGCTAGTGTGCCCATTCTGTGGAGGAGAAAACTGAGGCAGTGAACAGTGAGGAAGAAGTGGTCAAGTCGTGTAACAGAACTTAGTGGGACCCACAGCCAATTTTTTGCTTCCTGTTCCAGTGTGGAATGGCATGATGGGGAGATAGAATGTGTATTAAGTGTTAAATTCAGTTAAGCAGGCTTAGTAAGCTGGTGATGGAAGTCTTTTCCTAAGTACACTTCCCCACCCCCCAAGTTGTTCACTTCTGATTGTGGCTGATGAATGGGAATGGGGTTCTAGTCCTGTTGAAGGATTGGATTAAAGAATTAATCTGGAGAAAAACTTGGTCCTCCGTTGCTGTTTCCAGTGCTGCTAACCACTTCTGGAAATTGAGGGCATCATGTCTCGGTTGTGAAGTTGGATTAGGTCATACTAGGGAGGTGGTGAGTAGAATAATCAAAGCTGACCCCAGAGAAGGATGCACTGGGGAGCCCTGGTTGTGTTTTTAGGGGGTTGCATGGGAGCTTGTTGCAGTAAACACTGAGGGCTGTGATTCTGGGTGCCTGGAGGTACCTCACTAGGTGGTGCTAGAAGGCCATTGGTAGGGTTCCATGCCCATTCCTTCACCAAATAAGCTTTCAGCTCCAGTTCTGTCCACCCCACACCTGTGCTGCATGTTGTACTTGTCCCCTTCTTGTTCATTGAAACCTGATTCCACCTGGATACAGAGACGTTTGGGCAACAGTTGATTTACCTTTTAGAGGTTTACAGAAACTTAATTTCTAGGACAGTGGGAAGTTTTCTCGCTGTTGGGGCTCATGAGACCATTTGTAATTGTGAGGCCCACTTGGATACTAATGGGGAGGATGGAAATGATGGCTGTTGAATGAGAGCTGGGGAAGAACAATCCCAGAGGGCAGGTGTGAATGGACATGGAGGGGGACCACTTCTAAACCCGAACTGGTTTTTTTGCTGACAGCTCCTTGGAGGTGAAATGTTCCCTGTGTGTTGTGGGCATCCAGGCCCTGGCGGAAATGGATCGGTGGCAGGAAGTCCTGTACTGGGTTCTTCAGTATTACCAGGTCCCTGAAAAGCTACCCCCCAAAGTCCTGGAGCTGTGGTAGGTCCTTGTTTCTGACTCATTGGATCAGTCCAGAAATGGGGATTTTCATGTCCTCTCATGAATCAATTGATATCACCTTTTTCCTTTTCCTTATTATGTCCCTCCAATCTAATTCTTTCCCTGTTCCCCCCCCCCCCCCCCCGACCTCAAAACAGTACTAAAGAATAAGGAAGGAGGAATTTAGGGGTGGGTTAGAAGAAAAGAGGAAGAGACAGGACACTGGGAAAAGGAGATGTGAAGTGGGGTAACAGAGCAGAGTGTTCAGAGCTGAGATAGCATCTTGCTACTTCCTAGGAATTCCTAATCAATGTCTGCATCCCATAGGGAAGGGCCGGAGGACATGGGGAGGAATTGGATAGGAGAGTATAGTGGTTTTGATAGGTGAATCACGTGTGGAGCACTGACTGTTCCTTTTGGGATTGGATTATTTGGGGCTGCAGTGTTCTTTTATATAGCAAAATGCAAGAGCCTGGAGCCGTGCTGGAAGTGGCCAGTGCCTGGCTCCAAGACGCGGACAATCAGGGCCTTCCAGAATATAGAGCCTTGGCTGAACTTCACCTGCAACGGGTGCTGTTACCTCTGGGCCGCTTGTCAGAGGCTGGGGAGCTGGTGGTGGGCTCTGCAGCCTTCAGCGAGGAGCAGCGGCTGGGCGCACTCCAGGCCATCAGCACAGTAAGGCAGCAGCAGAAGCACAAACAGCCTGGCTCTGAGGACGAGAAGCCGAACCAGGAAGGTAGGACATTATCCTTCTGTGGCCTCTCTAAAGTAGGTGTGGGCTTTCCCCTGGGCCTTGGGGTCCATCATGACATTCCTGGGAGCTTCAGAGCAATTCTTTGTATGAGTAACTCCCAAATCACAGAATAGGAAACCTGTTGAGTTGCTTAAAAAGCCCAGGCTCTCTGCAGTGGCAGTGGAAGGAGAATCTTCATATGGGGAGGTATTGCTGGGTCTCAGAACCTTAACTCTTGTCTCCTGAAAGTCACCTTCTTCTTGGGGAGCTCTTTTTAGATCTCTTGCTTCTACAATGCTGGCCTGGGTGGGATATGATTCCTCCTTTAAATGTTGGCCCTAACGTAGACACACCTGAGGTATACTTAGGGATAGCCAAAGGATAGTAATAAACTAACATGACAACTTGGTAACTTGACCTAATGAGATAAAAATGACTTATCTTCGGTTTGGGCACCCCTACCCAGTCTTCAGTCTGCCTTCACACACTCAACCTCAGTGGTTGACGCCCACCTCCTTCAGGGACAGCCCACCTCTGCCCATTGGAGTGCAGTTTTACAAACTGGCTTCTGTAGGCATACCACTTGAAGACCCAACACCATGCACCTGGCTGGCATCATACAGGGGAACCTGCAGGGGTCGGTGTTGATTTGTTACAAAGGGACTTTAAAGGTTCCTCTACTCTGGACCCTTCCCCTGGTCCTTTAATCCTTTTCATCTCCTTTTCCTTGAGTGATCTTCTAGACTATACAGGATACTTCCAAGGGCAGAAAATCTGTTACCTCCTAAAGTAGCTCATTCCATCAGTGGGCAGTTCTGTAGGGTAGTTGTTCTTTATGTTGAATTTAAGTTTTTCTCCTGGTAGTTTTAAACCTACTGATCCTTGTTTTGTCTGTTGGTAACAGATAGAATAGATCTAATCTTTTTTTTTTTTTCTTTCTTCCCAGGAAAGCCCTTTAGTTGTTAGGAGACTGTAACCCTGTTTTCCCAAGTGGTTTTCTTTGTGTGCTAAAGAGCATGAACCTACTGGGATAGGATCGCTTCTTTGCAAACAGGGCTTGTTGGCTTTAGGGATTACCTGTGGCTAGCCAAGCCCTCTACCCCTCCACCCCCTGGGGATGGGGCCGGAAGGGGTTTGATGGCAGGTTCAAGATTGGGCACCTCTTGTTCTTGGGTTGGTAGTGTTCATATTTGTATTCACAATCCAAAACTTTTGAATTCTTCACTCTTAAGTACCCTTCACTCTTTTGGTATTATATTTCCTTTAGAACCATTTTATGAATTACATGAGTAAACCAGTCTAGTTACCTTTTGCTCAACTCTTACAATCAAACTCAGCCCAGAGGTCGGGAAACTGGTTCTCATGACTTACCCTGCAGTTATGCTCTGTCTCCCTGAGCAGGCTCCTTCTCCCACAAGTTTCTGTCACTACTGATGTTGCTTCGCCGACTTTGGGACTCTGCTGTAAGCCACTTCCTTTCCCTGCCCTTCAAAAAGAGCCTCCTGGCTGCCTTGATCCTCTGCCTCATGGTGGTGAGGTTTGATCCAGGTGAGTGATGAAACCTGCCTCCCTCCCAACGTTACTGGGAGAGGGGCAATTGACAGGGCTGGGCTGGTGGGAGCCCTCTTGGGGATGGAAGTACCTCTTGTGCCATTTCTCCCCAAGTCTCTTCTACAAGGAGGAATTGCTGAACCTGAGCAATAGCCGGCCCCAGCCCACCTCAGAGTAACTAGTCCTGGGATCTGTGAGGGCGGTCTGGAGCAAATCTTCCCTGCTGACCTTGAACACTGACCTTTAGTCATTGTCATCTATGTTAGCCAGGGGGAACTCTGAATTAGAACCTCAGAGTTTAAGTAAAATCTTCATCATAATGTCTAAAAAAATTGTTAATTTTAAACATTAAATTGTAAATGAAATACATATACGTTTTAGAGGATGTGGAAAATAAGGAAAAGTACAAAGAATTAAACAGAAATCACCTGTAAGTCTGCCATTATAATTGTACTTTCAGCTTCTTTTCTGTGTAGAGAGATGCATGGGTACAGAATAATTTTGCATGTCATAGATATTCTTTGAAACATGGCTTTAAAAGGCTAAATAGTATGCCAATTCACAGAAACTTCCATAACTGATTTCAACAGCCTCCCATTGCTGAACATTTTGACTATCTTTTCCTCTGTTTTCTGCAGTGCTGTGAAGCAGACCTGAGCTCCCTAAGTGTTATTTGGCATAGCCCTGGTTTTTCCTCAGGATTAATTCCTCAAATGTGTTAGCACTGGACCAAAGGATAGGAGCTCACTCTAGATTTTTTGTACCACTCTGTTATGATCTAATCTCTACTCTTTTCTTGAATTTAGACTTCTAATAGAATTATATAACTTTTAAAACTGAAGGGAAAACTGGAAACTGTTATTCCAGTCCCTTTATTTATTTATTTATTTATTTATTTATTTATTTATTTATTTATTTTCTGGTTGAGAAGGCTGAAGACCACAGATAAAAGTGACTAGCCCACGATCACACAAACAATTTGTTTTTAAAACTGCCAGTTCTGGAATTAATCTTTAGATATCCGTTTCCCCCATTTCCTTCTCTTATTCAGCGACCTTTTTTTATATAGCTTATAGTTGTCCTTTTAACCTGTTTGTTGAATGCTGAGCAGGAATTCCTTCTGAATAGCTCTGTTTGCTTTAGGAAAGAGTCACTAGTTAGCCCTTCAGGAAGCTAAGGGTAGTTTGTATTCTTTCAGTTTGTACCCTCTGACTTTCTACTTTGTTTCAGAAACTTGATAAAAATTTAGAAATTTTTTTATGCTTCTTATAAGTCCTTTAGTCTCGGAAACCCTGGTTTCCCAAGTGCGGACAGTGGGGGTCACGTGAGCTATCTGCAAGACCTTCTTCAGAAGTGCCCTGGTGGGTGTTCCTGAACCTCCATGGCAGTTGTGGGAAAGGAGAGCCCAGGAATGAGCCACAGTTAGAACTTGGTACAACAGATATACAGAGGGTAGTCTGTTAATAGCTTTCTTTAAAAAAATAACATTTTCCTTAAGAAAGAAAAAAAAATTCTGTTAAAAAAGTCAGTAGTTCAGGGAGCATTTGAGATCTTGTTCCCCTGCATATGTCATCATTTGGCTCAAACAAACTCATAAAAATTAAAAAAAAAAGGGGGGGGGCGTTATTCAAATAATGAAAAACAAACCAGCTCAGCTCTAATTTCAAAGAGGTAAATTTTTACTTTATGTTATTTCATTATAATCAACTTAGGATAAAAATAGGTAATACTGTCACATGGCTCCAAATTTTAAAGGTACAAAAATGAGTATAATGAAGAGTCTGTTCCCAAATTCATCTCCCCAGAGGCAGCTACTACTAGCAGTTTTTTTGTATATTCAAAAGATTAAAACATAATAAATTTGGATCTTTTTCTCAGCAAATTTAAGGTCATTGTAATCTAAGTGAAGTAAGTAAATTCCAGAGAATATGTCCTAGAGGAAGTGAAATTGCTTATTGTTGGGGTGGGGAGGAGGAGGAAATAACATTAAACATCAAAATATGCTTCAGAAAATCCTGCACACTTGGGACGGGAAATGGGTCCAGTGAAGGGAGGTACAGTGACAGCAATCTCCTCTTGTCCCGGCAGCTTCTCCTTCCTCCCTGCCCTTCCTCTGCAAGCTGGCTCAGATCCTCCACTGGATCCGGGACGCCATGTTTTCTCCCCTCCACCAGCTCAGCACCCACGACTGAGTGGTCTTCACCATTCATTTCAGCCTCTGCTTCCTGCGGAAGAGTAACTCGTCCATGGCAGCCAATTTCCTGCCGCTGGCTGGGCCCCTACAGGATTGGCGATAGTCTAATTCCTGGAAGAGCTGAGCCTATCACGTGACCTGTGTCTTGCTGCCTGATACTCTTCCATTTGCACCCCACTTTGGCTGGTGTCGGTAGATCATGTGGAAACAAAGCCAGGCCAGAGGGGACATGTCCTCCAGAACATTCCCCCCTTATACCCAGAGGCCCCTCGTAAAGGAGAGGTTTGGGGATGGAGACTGTGTCCATGAAACATTCCATCTTCTTGGCAAAGCAAGGGGTTGCTTTTTCAGGTCAGGATGTGAATGAAGCTGGAAGTTCAGAAAACCCCCAATGAAGTGACCCTTGGCCTTTGACTGCCTTGAAAAACTTACCTCTGAGGATTGCCCCTTAGGACCGGCCTTTAATTAGGCAGAGTGCAATCTGAGAGGGCCTCTCTTTTCTCTCTTATGCTCTTCTCCACAGATCTGGTTTAGTTGTTTACTGGTACACCATTCCCATGGTTTTGCAATGGACTTGAAGCTGTTCACACCAGAGCGTGATTTTCAGAGCCACCCAGGTGACTCCTGAAAACTGAGGGGCTGTTCTGCTCTTCTCACTGGGTAAAGTGATCTTGCTTGGTGCTTCTTGGGCTTCAGCTCAGTTTTCCAGGTTGTTGGTGGCCAAGTGTGCTCTGTTACACTCAGTCTCGTTGCCCCACTCCCTCCTGCCCACCCCTTCTCCCTGCCCTGCAGTAAGATTTTTGTACTTTGTCCCATGGCTGTTTCACCAGGTTCTGCTGGGATTCTTGCCTCCTTGGTACACACCGTTGCTGGTTCCCCCTTTCTATGTCCTGTTCTAATTCTAGTCCATTGTTTGTATAAGGCACAAGTTTTTCTGCTTGTCCATTGAAAAGTAGGCCAGCTGCAGAGGCTGATGAGCTGAAAATGGAACTGGTCTCATCAGGGGAGCTGGAAGGGATGTGCGGAAGGGGCTGGGCAGAGGGGAGACATGGGCTTTGAAGGCAGCGGACAGTTTTATCCATTATTAGGAGGAGGCGTGGGTCTAGCATTTGAGCACCTGAAATTTTTCAGCGTTTTCGGTTATGTTCACAAGAACCTTACAGTCTCTATGCAAGTAAGTGTAAAATAAATACTATGTCAGTCAGTATTGCAAAAGGCTTCTAGCAGGGCCACCTTTCTGCACACACCACCCCCTGCTGGGACCTGGGTTAGTACTGATGCCAGGAATATGGGAGGTGCCTTTAGCTTTTCAGTGGTTGATTTTCCAGAGTTGCGAGTCAACAACTCCTCTTTAGTAAAATGGGTAGAGTAAGTAAACTTCACCTGCCGTCAGAGGTTAAGGCCCTAGGATGTGGTGCAACTCTGTAGGTAACAAATCTGTGCTTTTACATTTGGGCTTTTAATAGAGTTAAGAACTCTAGGGAGAGGAAGGGAAGGGAGATAAGCTTTGAGATCTCTCTTTTAGAGGATTTCTTAAAGTGAAATCTGGTCCTGTTCACTACCCTGGATAAAACTCTTTAATGCTTCGCATGGCCCATGGGATAAAACCCATGTTCTTCTTTATGGACTTGAAGGCCCCTCTTTCACTGGTCTTGGAACACCCCCACTTCACGTGGGGCCTCTGTCCCTTATGCCCTCTGCCCTCCGGCTGCCCCTTCAGTCAGCTCTCTGAACACTGCGCACTCCCTCACCTCTGCTGTTCCCTTTGGAAGATCTACCCCAGTTTTTGCTTGGTGAGCTCTTCAACCTTCCAGACTTACACAAGGGTTACCTCTGGGAATTCTTTCCCGGGGTCCCCTGCTTCCAGCCCCAATTTCATATTCCTTCTGCAGTAGTGACCCCATGGTGATAACGGTTGTGAAAATTTTTGTTGCCTCAGGAATTGTGAGCTCTTTGAAGCTGGGGAGTGGGGCTTGTGGCTGTGTTAGGAGTCTGGTTTGGATACTTGCTCCAGCACTCGCTGATTATGTGCCTGTTGGAAAGTGATTGACCCTCTCAGCCTTAATGTTCTCATCTGTGAGTTCTTATCTCCCAGGGATTTGGAGAGTAAATGAGATCCTACTTACGAAGTGTTTGTATGTTACCCTGCCCCAAGCGAGAGCTCTCATGAGGGCCCAGCCCAGTGCCAGGGAGCTAGGTGTTTAGAGGCATTTAAAGGAATGGATTCACGTAATGTGACAAGACGTCTGTGTGCTTTTAGTGAGTGTGTGGGGTTTGTATTGTGAAAACCTTGAGTATAAAGAGGACCTGACTGCGCCAAACTCAGTTTTCGGCCTCTTCCCGGAAGTTCCCTAGTAGTAGTATGTTTGCAGGCTTCTAGGTTGTCTGGTTTATATTTGTCCTGAACTCTGCAGTGCTGTCTGGTGACCATCCCAGCTACCTCCCTAGTCAGACAAGGAGCTTAGACCAAAACTGCTCCAATGACTGACATTTTCTCAGGCTGCAGGCCGGCGCTTATTTCAGTCTTCAGCTCTGGGCTCAACGAGGTCAGAGGTGAAGGGAGGGCTTCGTTCCTAGACTTACACCCGAGCTGTCCAGTCCAGCAGCTGTTAGGTGCATGTGGTTGTTGAGCACTTGAGATGTGACAGTCTAGATTGAGATGCTCTGTAAATGTACACTACACACTGAGTTTTGAAGACTTAGCACTAAAAAAAGATGGAAACTTGATTTTTATGTTGATTGCATATTGAAATGATAATGTTTTGGACATAAAATCTATTAAAATAAATCTATTAAAATTAATTTCCCGTTTCTTTTTACTTTTTTTGTGGGGCTACTAGAATGTTTAAAGTTATGCATATGGCTTACATTGTACTTCTTTCAGAGGATGCTGTTCAACACATCCGGGACACATCAAGTTCAGAGGGCGTGGAAATCAGAGATGTAGTGTGGTGGGGTTTTGCAGGATGTCAAATCTGGAAAGAGTATTTGTTATAGCCCCTTTCTTTATAAGTTAAGTCGAGACCCGAAGAGGTGAAGTGGCTTGCCCCAAGTCACACAGCCTGAGTAAAACCAAGGACAGCTGACCAGCGAGCCTCATGCTCCTTTCAGCGCCCCCCCCCCCCCATTCAGCCTCACTTGTCCTAAAATCAGTCACTCTCCCGCTGATGTGCTCTGTTACTACGCAGATGCATCTGGGAGGAGTAACCAGCAGGAGCTGGGTGATTATTCTTTGGGGTTCCGCCTACAGTAGTTATTTTAAATGCTGAGGAGAGCAGAGTGGGTAATACTCTTCTGTCCTTGGTCACATGGGAGGCTTGTTGGGTGGGGAGGAGAACTTGGGCCACTGCAGGCCATCATAGCTGGAGGAGAGAGGGCAGCAGAGCAGATTGTGCTGGAGGAGCTCGTAGGTTCTGCTTCTAGAAAGGGGTTAGAAGGACCTGGGAATATTGTATAGCTTTGTGCAAGGGATGCCCATTTTTTGGCATATATATATATGCACATGTGTGTATGTAGACTGTTTAAAAAACATTCAAGTTTTATTTACCTGGTACAGAATTCAAAAGTTATAAAAGGGTATTCATGGAAAAAAGTCTTTTTTCTATCCCCATTCCACATCCCCCAGTCTCCTGACCTGGGGCCATCACTGTTGTTAGTTTGTTTACTCCTCTAGAGCTAATCTGATACTAAGCTTTTCTTTCTTTTACACAAATAATCAGATACTGTGCACAATATACACACTCTGCCCCACTTCCTAAAGAATTAACTCTGGATATTTGTTCATCAGCTTCGGGAGAGCTGTGTTGTGCCCCACTGTGTGATAGGATCAATGTGTAAGCCATAACCTTTCCTTGTTCACACACTGAAGCTTCTCCACCCTCTCCTAAGCTTAGAAGCACGGCAACCTCAAGTTTAAGGTAACAGTTAATGGTCATGCCTCTTTCCTGGTACTTCCTAGCAAACAGAACAGTCTGTTCAGCCTAGTACAGCCATCCTGGGGAGCTAAGAGCAGGCCTTTCACACTCTGCACATTCAGTGTTTTCTAAATCTGGAATGGCACTCAGGCAGCCTCTGCCATCTGGTGAAATCAGCCAGGGAGATGGCAGAGAGAAAGGCCTGACATGAATTGCTAACAGGGCCTCTATCCACTACCTCACCCTCTTTCTCCTTCTTCCGTGGAAGAGCCTGTGGGCCAGTGGACATCTACCCCTGCACCCCCAGGTGGGGCCTGCTGTGATTCTGCTGATGTTACTCTGTCTTCCTCAGGCGACTGCCCTGCAGGCTGACCAAGGCCACCCTCACCTCCCTGCCATAGCACGTCTGTGGAACTTAATACATGGGGTGTTAGTGAGGAAAAGGTAGGGCTCTTTTGCTTCTCGCCCTCTGCAGACCTTAATGTCTTGGGCTGGGAAGAAGCTAAAGGAAAGGTGACGGGCACAGTGGCTCCGGCAGCCTGGGAGGTTCCTGTGTGTGCCATTCCTCCAGTGGTGGTCAGCCCAGACATTGTTGGCCAACTCTAGGCCTCTGATAAAACGATAGATATTTTTCTTGTCTTAAAGCAATGCATATGTATTTTAGAAAATATTAAAAATTGCATAAAAACAAATAAGGGCCTTGTGATCTCACCACTCAGAGATAACTACTGTTAATATTCATTGATTTTCTTTCGGGGTTTTTTTTTTTTTTTTTTAAACATCAACCCTTTTGGCAGCCCAGGTGCTTGAGAACCTGTGAAGAAATAGTAGTTTGCAGGCAGACAGGTTTGTGCATGAGAGGAACTAACCGGCTCCACTAGGAGTCCTCTACTGAGAGAGTGGGAATGACCTAGGAAAGGGCAGTGGGGGAGGGGACAGTGCAGCAAGCTGTTCTTTCTCTACTGGCTGAAGAGTTCAGATGTAAGTGATGCTGGAGTGCCCACTAGTGCCCACTTTTACCACCAGGCCAGATCCGAATAGGCGGGGCTTTATGTTCCACTTTTATTTTAACACTGACCCAAGCTTGTTTTTAACACTCAGCTCCTAGTTTTCAAGAACCTCTGCGACACTTTTGACGTCCCATTGTCACTTTTTATACGATCTGAGGTGGGCACTGACAAGCATAAGATAGTATTTGAAGAATCAGTTGAAAAACAAAAGGATTTTTGCAGAAGTATGTCAGTATAGAAAAAAGGCACTTTTAACAAAAGGCACTTTTAACAGTAACGTCTGGAGAGGATGTGGAGAAAAGGGAACCCTCCATACACTGTTGATGGGATTGTACACTGGTTCAGCCACTATGGAAAATAGTGTGAAGTTTCCTCCAAAAATTAAATAGAGCCGTCATACAATCCAGCAATCCCACTTCCAAAGAAAACAAAAACACTAATTCAGAAAGATATATGCACCCCTATGTTCAGTGCAGCATTACTAGTAATAGTAAAGATATGGAAGCAACTTAGATGTCCATCAATAGATGAATGGATAAAGATGTGGTATATAGTGGAATATTTTCAGCCATAAAAAAGAAGGAAACCTTGCCATTTGCGACAACATGGATGGACCTAGAGGGTATTATGCTAAGTGAAATAAGTCAGACTGAGAAAGACAAATACCATATGCTCTCACTTATATGTGGAATCTAAAAAAAAACCAAAACATGAACAAATGAACAAAACAGAAACAGACCCATAGGTACAGAAAATAAGCTGATAGTTGCCAAAGGGGAGAGGAGTGGGCGATGGGAATAAAAAAAACCATTATGTCAAGTATGTACTTTCCTATATATAGTTTATTATATAAAGCCATTAAAATGCAGTCAAATTAGATAAAGCTTTGGTGACATTAATCATGAAAAAGAAAATAATGACTAAAAATGGGAACATGTGTAGATTGATAATGGCCTAGATTAAAAAGACAATATGAGAATACTATGAACAATTTTAGTACTAATAACGTCTAAGAATAATTACTTCCTTCCCTGTGATCTTGTTTAGGACACTACCTAAAGAACAAACAAACAAACCCAATAATATCAACATTATTTATATGGAGAAGTTCCTTAGGTAGAAAGCCAAATTATATGGTCCTTAGAAGGTAACCGATGAGTTCTCACCCTCAGAGATACATTAAGTTCTAGAAAAAAGTGTTCATACTTTTAGGTAAAAGGCTTGTTTTCCAAATGTAGTAGAGCATCATCCCTTTTAGGCTCCACTGTTTCTAACCTCTCTGACTCCTTCTCTGTCCCTTCCGCGGGTCTCTCCCTTTTGAACTCACACTGGAAGTGAGTGTACCCTCAATGCTCTGTCCACAACTCATCTCTTTTTTTTTTTTTTTCCTAGCTGAGCCATCCTGCCACCTGTTGGCAGCTTAGTGGCAGCTCAGCTTGGGCCGGGAATCTAACCAGCAATCCTGTTACTCAGAGCTCGCACTCTTGAGCGAGCTCTTAACCAACTGAGCCACTCGGCTGGCCCCACAGCTCTTCTCTTTCTGCAAGCTCTCTCTGGGTGAGTTATTCTCCTCACATGGATTCAACTGTCACCTTTAACTGAATGACCCCCAGTCTACAACTCCATCTCCAGCCTCTCAGGATTTGTCTATATCTCCAACTGCAGAGAAAACCTGGATCCATGGTCCTCCGCACTCTTCCTCACGTCCCCCATCTAAACTCCTGGCCTTGTTCTGATTGCTGATCGCTTCACCCCACACACACTCAGGCCCTGCTTTCTCCTGAACTTCATCTGTGCATTGTCTGCTTATCCTCAGATCGCAACTCACTACTCAGCCAATCTGTCCTTCTATGAAGTCTTTGCTGTCACTTTTTTTCCCCAAGATTTTATTGGGGAATTGGGGGAGTGTCACCTTGCAGCCGCTGACTCCAATGCTTCTGCGCACTGATCCTTTGAAGTCATAAGGAAGTGTCTTGGAATGCTAAGACCCCAGGGAATGATCTCGGTAAAACTTCCTTATGCGATGGTCCCCGAATGCTGAGTCCATCCTGGGGATCATACTGTATGTGTGAAAGCACAACTTGTGTTTGATCACTATGAGTTTCAGTGAAGCAGCTGCCAGACAAATCGAATCAACTAACTGGGTATAGATATTCAAATTGACTTCTTTGTGGGAGTTGTAAATAAAAGTTATGGTTAGCAGAGAGGAAACTCCTGCCGGCAAGAAACTCTACTTTTGACTATTTCTTAACCCTTCACTGCCCCTCCTCAAGCTCCCCAGCTCATGTCACGCAGACGTGATAGGGGAGGGGAACAGATAAGTTGCTGTTCTTTTGTTCTTCAGTCTAGTTGTGGAGGACGTTGCTTTACTGGCCCATGTTGGTATTATCACTGCGCTCTTCCCGGGTGAGGCAGTCACTCGCCGGTCATTGGACGGCGGCTCATGGCAGCTCATGCCAGCTACTGGCCAGCCCCCCTGCAGCCTACACTGTCGCTGGCGACTCATGGCAGCCCAGCTCCAGGTCGAGCTGTTGTTCACCCTTTTAGCTAGAGGGCGCAGCATCACTGGCACATGTGGGATCTGAACTGGGGCCCTGCTGCTCAGAGCTCGCACTCCTAAGCCAATTCAACCGAGCCACTCTGCTGGCCTTTTGCTGTCACTCTTACTATTATAATGGTATTTCTGTTTTCAGCTAGTCTCTTGCACTTAATAGCCATACCATTCACTTCACTTTGTCCATAGATACTTGTTTGTTCTTTAACTCTTTTAAGGGGTCATATCATCTTGTCTCTCCAACTGGATGAAGACATTTTGTGTGGGGTAGGGCCATGTCTTCTAATACCAGTAATAACAGCTAACATTTGTAAGGTACTTACT